CAAGTCCCTAGCACACTCAAGACCGGCGACAGCGGCCGCCGTCGGTGTCATCTAGCCACACACAGACTGGGCACGGGGCCGACGCCCCTGTCATCCCCCCGACCACACACCCACACCTCCACACCCCCCACGGATGTCTGTCCTGCACGCAGGGAAATGGGTGTGAATTTAAACTACCATTTAGTGGGGTAGGTTGGTGAATGATCTTGTCACCACCAGACATGTTTTTAAATAGGTTCTTGCAGGACATCAGGCTTTCAGTTCTGAAAATGAGACGTTTGAGTTTTAGGTTCTTCCAGGCCCACCTGTTCCAGCTGAGGCATGAAAAACCATCAGTGTTTTTATTGTAAACACTCCAGTGCGGATTTTCAAGGCAACTACCAAAAAAGTAAAAACCCGATCCCGAACATCAAGCCAGCCATGAAATATTTTGCACAATTTCATTTAAATCATTTTGATGAGACATTCGGGGAACAGCTAAGGTGGTGATTTTTAATTCCCTTTTTTTAAAAAAAAATGGTTTAAGGGAAGTTTCTCAACTGTAAGGATTTACTTCTAAACTGTACCCATATAATAAGAGAGTAAAGCATTTGGGGTATCCATCACTTTCCACTAATGACATTTCTCCTTTTTTAAATCAACAATTCAAAAGAAGTTCAGCCCAAATTTGTGTGGCATGTATCATGTACTAGCTAATGGGTTTGACTCATGGCAAAATTAGTCCATATTTTCAAAGTTCCCATGTGTGAGTCACTTGTAAATCAAAATCCGCTCGCATCAGGAGCATATTTGCGGATGCTTTGCAATCTCAGTGTTTTCTGTGGTCTTCCCAGGTAAAGGTTTAAATCCACCGCTCAGGATTTTGTGGTGACAAGAATGTTGGTCGCTGGACTGATGGTTCATGGGATGTTTCTAGATTTATCACTGCACAAAGCTGGTCAGGACCACATACCTCGTCAGGGCGAAGGGGTGTGGGGGGAGGGAGTCTTACCCATAGTAGACATGATTTGCACGCTGCAACATTGTGTCATTTGTAAGCAGAATACCCCTGTCTGGTCCAGTTGGCTCCCTCAGCAACTCTGTATGTACTGGACGCTGGCCAGGGGTGGTCCAAAGGGCAACTGTGTTCTTTCAGTGTGGCATCAACTTTGGGGGAGAAACAGGTCTCAGTCCACTTGGGGACATGTGTTTTACCTTTCTATTTCGTGAAAGAAGTCCATCCATCAATCAGGCAAACAGGATCACGCCAGGGTGTGCAAAGTACTGCAGGGATTTCAGTAAATCAGCTCGTGTGATGGAGAGGTTCACCAAGAAGGGAGCCTGGCTAGAAGAAGCCCCTCTTGGAAGGGGGCCATTGGAACTGAACCAGGTAAATGAAAAAGAACCAGCTATAGCAAGGTCCAGAAGAAGACCAGGAACTCTGCCCCGGCAAAGAGCCAGAGTTAAGGGAAGGATTGGAGGCTCGGGAAGCTGCCGTTGGGGGGCAGGGCCCCAGCAGAGAAATGGGGGTCACACCAGCAGGCTTTCCTGTAAGTTAGCAGAAGGCCGGCAAGGAGTCAAAACAGAGCAGGTGTCACGGGCCACGTCTTCCCCAGAGAATATTCTGAAGAACAGACGGGAGGGAAGCAGATGCAGGAAGCTCATGTCCTCACCCCAACATGTGAACCAAAGGGGCCCGGTGAGACCAGTCACCCTGGGTTGGAAGACAGCCGGTCCTCGGGCCTGTCAGGTTGCAGAGAATTGACAGGATTGACTCCCGAGTGAGCTGTTCTAGAACAGCCAGGTTCAGCGGCCAGAGTCAGGCAGTGGAGCAGGATGAAATGCAAGCTAGGTGGGAGGGGGCGGCAAGCCACCGGGAAGTCTGATCTTCCAGCTCAGATCCGCAAGAGATCCTGCAGACAAGCGTCCTTTCTTTGCTCGTTGACATAATTGCCATCACTTTCTTTTGTAAAATGAGTACTCAGAAGAATAAGCTTGCCCGTCATCCCTTCCACCAAGATTTACACATGATGCAATCTCATTAAACAGATCATCGGTGGAGAGGGAGCAGATACTCGCCACACACCCGGGTGGCGGTGCTTTCTCCCCTCTCGCCCCGGAGAGGTGCTGCCGTTGGCAAACACAATCACAAAGTCAAGTGAATAGTTTTAAATGTCTCATATTAAAATGTGTTTTTGGAAACTCCTCAGAACCCTCAGCCATTGTTAACAGACGCTCACTTGGACGGATGCTTTGGCACTTTTTTTGTGTGGCTTTTCAGTGCATTACCTTATCTGGTGCATGAGATTTAGTCTGTTTGGCAGAAGAAAACAGACAAAAAGGGTCTCTCGGCATGAGTTACTCTTCTGTAAAGGTTATAGTAAACATGTCAATGCCTAATTAAGCAGAAAATTTTATCTGTATGGCGGGGGAAGCGTCGGCTGTCTCTGACTTTTCTTCTGGGGAATCCATTTAGAAGGACAAAGTAGATTGTGAAGTTGAGCAGGTCTGGAAAACTCAGCTTCCAAATGTCAGCAGAAAAAAACACTTCTTGTGTGACAGTCACTGCCGGCCGGGCAGTGTGTGTGTGTGTGTGTGTGCGTGTGTGTGTGTGTGTGCGTGTGTGTGTGTGCGTGTGTGTGTGTGTGTATGCGCGCACAGCCCTTATATACACATGCATGTCTTTGATTAACCCACATGTAAAATAATGTGATGACTTCCCAGCTTCACACCATCAGGCACTGAGCGAGGCGCTGAAACCACAGAGCTAAGCGAACCCCAGTCATGCCCTTATCTGTTTGTGACTAGAAAATCTTTTCCGCCCTTAATTTCTTCACTTGCTGAGCATGTGGATGCATGTGTGTGTGCGCGCACACTTTTCTTTGTGACTGTGATCATATTGTCTGTGTGTCTTCGCCTGGGATGGTCCTGTCTGGTACTTGCTGTGCCGGAGGAGGAGTAATCGTGCCTTTTAATTTGCAAAAGTGTCCTTGTTGGATTGGTCAAAATTTGCCTGATTCTCTGCAGTATTTGGCTTGGCTCTGGCACAACTCACTAATATTTATAACAGACTTTTTCCTTGAGCCTTGTGGTATGACCATGTTTACACACATCCAGATTAGTCCAGGGAGAAGAAATAGCAATGATGCTGGGAGTGGAGGCAGGGGAGGGGTAGGGAGGTGATGCTTTTAAATGAGGGTTCCCTTGCATGGAGTCACTACTTAGTAACAGCCATAGAACGAGTCATGTTTGTCTCTTCAAATCCATTTGTAGAACTAGAGAGCACAGTACCCATTTCATAAAATGTCCACTCGTCATACTGCTAGGAAAGTAGCAATAACAATAAAATAACGAAGGTGACCTCTAACCCGGCTTTGCAATGAGTTTTGACATTCATCAGGGTCTGCGATTGTGTGCCCTTGGTCGGGCATTCCCAAATTCTCCCCTGCGAGAGGGCTCTGTGTTCACTAACCTTTCAGCGAATTCCACCGCTTAACCCTTTGTCTCTAGGTCTCCGTAAAGTTTTCTTGTTTGTTGGGCTGGTAATCAAAAGAGAGGACCAAGTGGTTCAGACCACAGATTCGCTAGCCAAGCCGACTGGGATCGGACAGGGATGCCGCATCGAACTGTGTGGCCTGGCACAGCCCTTAACCTTAAAACCTCAGGTTACCCATGGGTGAAATGCAAACGATGTTACTCCCTACTTCTCGTGAAGAGTAGACAAAGTGAAAGAAAGCACCTGCTGTGTCTAAATCATTCTCACCTTTAGCAGCAGCCGCCTTTGCAATTCCTGATTGCAGCACACCTGTTTCTGCCTGCCTCACAGGACAGACGCCCAGAGGACGGTCACCCCCTTGGCAAGCGTCACCCAGGTGACTGGAAATACCAGCAACGCTCTGGGATTCCTCCCAAATGTCCACCCGCCATGAGAGGGCGCCCCTAAGGAAAATGCTGCGTTGAGATCAAGCAGGCCTTGAAATATAAGTTGAATCTCCTTTGCTTTGGTTGCATTTCAGCCACGTGGCTCTGCAAGAGCCAGGCAAAGAAAATGAGCACGTGGGATAAATAGTCACTTCCCCGTCTCCACTGATGGATATTTGCCCATTAATTCCCTTTGCGCCAGCTCCCTCCTGACTTCATTTTCCCTGTGCAATTACTGGCCCTAAATCCTTTCAGAGCAGGAAAGGCATGCATCCCCAATAGCACTCTGCATCTACAAATCAAATGTATAATTGGCATCTCATGATGGGGACCCACAAATCACAGTGCATTTGAAATTACAGGCACACGATCGAGAGGGCATTTTCAGCCTTGTCTGGAAAGGACTTCATAAACCTGTTTGAGGAGAATAGCAGAGACCCCAAATCTCCCATTCTAACACCATTTGCTATTATTTTAAAATCATTAGATCTGCTGAGCGTACATAATTTTTCAGCTATCCATGGAAGATTTTACTCGATACTCCATAATCTCTCTTCCTGCCAGGCGGCTCTACAAATAAAAACGTCCTAACGGGAAAAAAAAGACTGGCTTTCAAAAAATAAAATGGCTGCGTGCCCCAATTCAGTCTGAGCTGCAGCAGCACCAGGGAGGTGACTGTCCACCGCTGTTTTCGGCAGACTTGCCGCGGCATGCAAGGCTCAGGTCTCAGTGCTCGGGGGCCGGTGCCCTCTGTAGAGCTCTGTCTTCAGTAGGATTCGGATTTCAGTCCATTTTTCCTGAAAGTCACGTGCATGAATTTAGCAGCTGTCCCATTATAAGGGCATTAGAGTGATATTCCGTCCACGTGGGGACGCTGAGCACTTGCCACGAAGTATGGCCCCTGCCTGTTTTATTTTAAAGACAGTAGACAGCACCGAGGCATCGTTGGGCTTTTTCCTGAATCCACTGCCTGCAGTTCCTAAAAGTGTAGCTTCCGTCGCTATTCAGTGGGTGTGGAAGCGCCTCTCCAGTGGGGGAACTGACAGAGAAGGCATCACCCGTGATTGCTATTTCAATTCCATCTCTTTCTCCTCCGGCAGGTTATGCCCAGGAGGAACCACTGAAGGAAGAGGAGGACATCAAGGAGGAGGAGGAGGAGGAGGAAGAGAGCGGCTCCGTAGCTCACCTTCAGGGGGGCAATGACCCGGGCACCGACGAGGAGCTCGACACCGGCCCGGAGCAGAAAGGCTGCTTCAGCTACCAGAACTCTCCGGGAAGCCACCTGTCCACCCAGGACGCGGAGAACGAGTCCCTGCTGAGCGATGCCAGCGACCAGGTGTCCGAGGTCAAGAGCGTGGGCGGCAGGGAGGCCGCAGCGGACAAGAAAGCAGCCGCGCCCCCCAAACTGCCCCACGAGGCGCACAGCTGCATGGATAAGATGACGGCCGTGTACGCCAACATCCTGTCCGACTCCTACTGGTCGGGCCTGGGTCTGGGCTTCAAGCTGACCAGCAGCGAGCGGCGCAACGGCGACCCCCGCCACGGCGGCGGCAAGACTGACTTCGACTGGCACCAAGACGCGCTGTCCAAGAGCCTGCAGCAGCACCTGCCCTCACGCTCCGTGGCCAAGCCCAGCCTCTTCAGCTCGGTGCAGCTGTACCGGCAGAGCAGCAAGGGGTGCGGGACCGTGTTCACCGGGGCCAGCCGGTTCCGGTGTCGCCAGTGCAGCGCGGCCTACGACACCCTGGTGGAGCTGACCGTGCACATGAACGAGACCGGACACTACCAAGACGACAACCGCAAGAGGGACAAGCTGAGGCCCACGAGCCACTCCAAGCCCCGGAAGCGGGCTTTCCAGGACATGGACAAGGAGGACGCGCAGAAGGTCCTCAAGTGCATGTTCTGTGGCGACTCCTTCGACTCCCTCCAAGACCTGAGCGTCCACATGATCAAAACAAAGCATTACCAAAAAGTGCCTTTGAAGGAGCCGGTCCCAACCATTGCCTCGAAAATGGTCACTCCCGCCAAGAAGCGGGTGCTGGACGTCCACCGGCCCTGCTCCCCCGACTCCACCACGGGCTCCTTTGCCGATTCCTTCTCTTCTCAGAAGACCGCCAGCCTGCAGCTGGCCAACAGCAACCGCTACGGCTACCAGAACGGGGCCAGCTACACCTGGCAGTTCGAGGCCTGCAAATCCCAGATCCTCAAGTGCATGGAGTGCGGCAGCTCCCACGACACGCTGCAGCAGCTCACCGCCCACATGATGGTCACCGGCCACTTCCTCAAGGTCACCAGCTCGGCCTCCAAGAAAGGGAAGCAGCTGGTGCTCGACCCGCTGGCGGTGGAGAAGATGCAGTCGCTGTCGGAAGCCCCGAGCAGCGACCCTCTGGCCCCCAAGCCCGCCAGTAACTCGGCCCCCGACTGTGCAGCCTCCACCACCGAGTTAAAGAAAGAGGGGAAGAGAGAGCGAGCGGAGGAGGCCGGCAGCAGGGACGAGAAAGGCGTGAAAAGCGAGGAATACGGAGACCCCCTCCAGAAGCCTTTAGACCCGACGATAAAATACCAGTATCTCCGGGAGGAGGACTTGGAAGATGGCTCCAAGGGTGGCGGGGACATCTTGAAGTCTCTGGAAAACACGGTCACCACCGCCATCAACAAGGCCCAGAACGGGGCCCCCAGCTGGAGCGCCTACCCCAGCATCCACGCGGCCTACCAGCTGTCCGAGGGCCCCAAACCTTCCCTGCCGATGGGGTCCCAGGTCCTGCAGATCCGCCCTAATCTCCCCAGCAAGCTAAGGCCCATTGCACCAAAGTGGAAAGTCCTGCCAGTGGTGCCCATGGCCACCAGCCTGGCCCCCTACACCCAAGTCAAGAAGGAGCCAGAGGACAAAGATGACGCCGGGAAGGAACGCGGGCAAGAAAGTCCCCGTGAAGAGGCATCATCGTTCAGCCACGGGGAGGGAGAGTCTTTCTCCCAAAGTGAAACACCCTCAGAATCCAAGAAGGCTGAGCCTTGTCCCCCGCAGGAGGAGGACAAGCTGATGAAGGAGGGCGGCGAGGAAGAGAAGTCCCAGACCTTGCAGCCAGCGTCTGCGCTGAGCAACGGGTGTGCCCTGGCCCACCACGCCTCCGCCCTGCCCTGCATCAGCCCGCTCAGCGCCCTGCAGTCCGTCCTCAACAACCACCTGGGCAAAGCCACGGAACCCTTGCGCTCGCCTTCCTGCTCCAGCCCAAGCTCAAGCACAATCTCGATGTTTCACAAGTCCAGTCTCGGCGTCTTGGACAAGCCGGTCCTGAGTCCCGCCTCTGCGAGGCCAGCCAGTGTGTCCAGGCGCTACCTGTTCGAAAACAACGATCAGCCCATCGACCTGACCAAGTCCAAGAGCAAGAAGGCGGAGTCCTCGCAAGCACAATCCTGCACGTCCCCGCCGCTGAAGCACGCGCTCTCGGACATCGCGGACATGGTCAAAGTCCTCCCGAAGGCCACCACCCCGAAGCCCGCCGCGTCCTCCAGGGTCCCGCCCATGAAGCTGGAAATGGACGTCAGGCGCTTTGAGGACGTCTCCAGCGAAGTCTCGACTTTGCATAAAAGAAAAGGCCGGCAGTCTAACTGGAACCCTCAGCATCTTCTGATCTTGCAAGCTCAGTTTGCCTCCAGCCTCTTTCAGACGTCGGAGGGCAAATACCTGCTGTCTGATCTGGGCCCCCAAGAGCGAATGCAGATCTCAAAGTTTACGGGACTCTCCATGACCACGATCAGCCACTGGCTGGCAAACGTCAAATACCAACTGAGGAAAACGGGCGGGACCAAATTTCTGAAAAACATGGACAAAGGACACCCCATCTTCTATTGCAGTGACTGTGCCTCCCAGTTTAGAACCCCTTCTACCTACATCAGTCACTTAGAGTCTCACCTAGGTTTCCAAATGAAGGACATGACCCGCATGGCCGTGGAACAGCAAAGCAAGGTGGAGCAAGAGATTTCCCGGGTACCGTCGGCTCAGAGGTCTCCGGAAACAATAGCAGGCGAAGAGGACACAGACTCTAAATTCAAGTGTAAGTTGTGCTGTCGGACATTTGTGAGCAAACATGCAGTAAAACTCCACCTAAGCAAAACGCACAGCAAGTCACCCGAACACCATTCACAGTTTGTAACAGACGTGGATGAAGAATAGCTCTGCAGGTATGGGTTTGCTCCCAGGGGATGTGCGAGGACTTCCATGAGGGAGATGGGGCTGTTTAGAGGCAGCCGACGTCTCCCGACACCAAGCAGAGTAGCCTGCTGGGAGAGTAGTTGCTTTTCTGGAAGACTAGCGTGTGATCCGTAAGGCCCACCTGGCCTCTCAGTTTCCCCCACGTAGTGTTGGAGAATAGACTAAACTGGGTGTAGAGAGACGGGGTTCGCAGGTTACTGCTGCTTCATGCGTGATTCCCCTTAGTTACCCAACTTGCAAGGTCCAGCCAAGGCTACACCTCGTTTTAATGGTCAAGTCCTGTCTTCTCTCACTGTCCCATGCCACCCCCATTCTCTAGCAAGGCTGATGACGCCTAAAGTGACGAAAAGGCGAGAGAGACAGAATAAGATTGTAGTTACGGGGGTGGGGGGTGGGGGGTGAGAGGGGCAGACACCCACAGAGATTTCTTAATCCGCTCATGAATAGCTTCAAGCGGTCTTCGCTATCATCACTGTAATCAGTGCTTTCGCGGCTCCCCTTGCTTATTCCCTCCATTAGGGCTCTGTGAAAGAGCGTCGGCCCAGTAGTTGGATGGTAGAAAAATATTCTCTGCAGAATATGGAGATGAGAAGAGAGGAAACTTATTTCTTCTTTCTTATTTCATCTGTGGGTTTTCCTTAGGCTAGACAATTCTGTCACCTTTAACACAGACTGGCGCAGTGCATGCCCGAAAGACTTGACCTTCCATAAAGAAACAGAGGGCTCTCGGCACACCCGTTGCCAATGCACTTGGGGTCCACGACTTCCAGATCACTTGACAACTTCCAGATCATTTGCATCACGTAGCTGTCACGGAAGTTCTGTGCCATGTACAGTCACTGTGTCACCTCCAGCAGAGAGAATGCAGACCAAGGTCAAATACCTTGACACATCAAGGCCGTTTCAGACACGGAACATAAGTAAGGCCGGATCCTAACCAGTTCCTTTCATCTCCCCTTGTCTCCTCTCCAGCATGCTCCACCCCATCCCCCACCCCCACCCCCACACACATTAGGAACCCTCACACATATGCAAGCTGCCCTCGCCTCAGAACACACTCCAGGGCATTCCACTTGTCTTCAACCTCCAGCACTTGCCTCTACTTCACATCAAGCCAGGTTATCGGGAAGTTCTTTGGATTCCTTCGCAATAAGACAGGAATGGCTAATAATAGCTTCCCATGTCAACCCTCGCCATTGTCACTAAACAAGCAAAGGCAGTTTCAATAGCTATCTGTTTTAAATGGGACACTTTCAGACCAAGCCACCAAGGATGAGCACTGGCAGACTTGGGTGTCGCAAGGGTATGGATAGGGCGTGGTGAGGGGAGCCAGGGAGCGGGAGAGGGTGAAGAGAGAGAAAGGGCTCAAAAATGTGATCTGGGACTGCTGTTGCCTAAGTGAGAAGCTCTGAGAGCCTCTGATGGAGGGGGAGACACCCTCTATCTCAGCCGGTTACCTGGGTTCAAGTGAAGACCATTGTTTTGTTTGCATGTTTTTATCATGATAATTAAAATGTGTTACTGGCAGATTTGTCCCTTGCTTTCCAAGCATGATTTGTTCAGCTCTCGCTGTTGAAAGGATGAAGCCAAAGTGCATCTGTTGCATCTCTACATGAGCCTGGGCTCCAGGGTGTCCTATTTCTTTGCTAGAGAACATTTAAATTTTATGTAACTTGCTATTATGCTTTTCTGCTACTTCCAAAAAAAAAAAGGTGGATACAGAATTCTGAGAGAAGAGATGCTGTTTCAGATCCCATAATGGTAGGTCCAAACCTTGGTGAAGAGGACAAGTAGGAATGTTTATTCGTGCTACAATAAAGAGCAATTTTCCACCTGTTAGGTTTGTAATCTTTTTTTTTTTTTTTATTAAGATCACTGCCCAAACACTGGAAGGTATAAATAGAGGGGAGAAAAGTAGTTTCAGTCAAAACTTGAAACTTACAAGCCTATTCTAGGAAGCCAAAACTAAGCCAGGAATTTGGCGAGACCTACACAAAAAGACTTTGACACATCCGCTGAAGACAGAGCTAGATGTGGCATGGCAGCTTTTTCATCTCTCTGCATTTATATAAATCAGTATGTCTGATTCGGACCTTTGAACCACCCTTAGAATCACTAGAATGGTCACTATATGAACCCAAAACACCCTTCTGTAAACACCGTGTTTCTGTGGTTCTCAGAGAAGCTGGCAGAAAAAAAAAAAAACCGGTCGGACGATTGGGGACTCATTCCAAGCAATGGGCATGTGCGTCCGCGCGTCTGTGCGTCCGCGCGTCTGTGCGTCCGCGCGTCTGTGCGTCCACGCGTCTGCGCGTCTGTGCGTCCGCTTAACTCGGTCGGGTGCTGGGAGTCTCTTGTGTTAATGCCAAAGCCCTTACTGTTGGCCTGAGTGGGTCTTACAGCCACATGCAGTAGCTTTCTGATGCTCTGGTCACCTGGGAAAGGAGTCCCCCACTCTAGGGGCCTCTGGAACACCGTTTATGAGCTACCTCCCCCCTGCTTCAGACGGTACCAGTGTGTTTTAAATGACCACAGACTGAGATCGCTGTTGCCCTGCTCTCGGACTCATTGCTAGTTGCATGCACTCTAGCACAGGTTGTGCCAGGAGGCTTTAGAAAGCATGGTCAAGATTCTGTGGAAAATTTGAAAGCTTTGTCCGATCTCTATTCTCTGTAACTCAAATTTGCACCTGGTTTTTCTTGCCTTGCTTGGCTCTTAAATCCTACACAATGCTATGCTATATTACATGCAGCTTTTCATTAAAAAATAATTAGACGTTGTTCAATGTGTATCCCTATGTTTGGACAAATAATCTAAGGCAATTTCAGCAGGTATTGGGATATACCTTTAAAGAAGATGTGTTCTTGAATAAAAGAAATTAAAGAGCAAAGCGATGAGTCTAAAATGCACAAGAACTTGAAATGATAGTCATTATGGTGTAATGCAGTATATACAGGATTGGCAGCACGCCGACCTTGACACCTTGAAATCGGTGGTGGGAGGGAATTCTGGGGCTGCACTTGTTGGGGTGATTTGATTAAAAACACTGGGGGTGAGGTGCAGCATGTAGGGTGGCCAATAAAATAAGGAGGTGCAGTGGTAGTGGAATTTCAGATAGACAACAAACGTGCTTTCATTTTAAGCATGTTCCAGATAGCGCAGGGGTCATATTTACAATAAAAAATTCTCTGAGCTTCAGTATTGTTTATCTGAGATTCAGACGTGACGCTTTATGACTTGGGATGCTACTGTGGCGTCCCGGCGTGTCACAGGGATCACACAGCAGTCTGGGATGAGCCCCAGAGGTAGCGCTAATTCTTAGAGGCGTCGATTATTCCTCACCCATCAGGTAAATATTTCTCTTTTCCTCCCTCCCTCCCGTTCTCACTGCCCACCTTCTTTTCCCTTCCTCGCTTCCTTCCTCTCTCCTTGTTCTTTCATCCTTCACACAGACAGCTTGTGCTTCCAGCACCCCAGGCTGAGCACTGGGCCTGCAGCTGGAGCCAGAAGCCGGGTGAGGTGGCTCCCCAGTGCTGGGCCCGCGGACCCACCGTCCACATGCGAGCTCACTTCATTCTCGCCAGCAGCCCAGGCTGGCGAGGTTACAGGCAGGAGAGGAGGTGGACAGGTGCCTGAGTTCCCACAACCTCGGGGCCCCCCTCCTTCATTCCACCAACCCAGAAGGTCTCTGCTCCCGGAGTGTCGACCGCGAGTGACCAGGACAAGTGTCAGCCTGAGAGACTGGCGGCAGACAGCTCCTTGGTGAGAAGCTGAGGGGGTAGGCAGTAGGGCTATCCGGGCACAGGAAGAGTGGCTCAGAGGCTGCGTGACGTTTAGGCGAGAATCCTGGCCACAGAGGTCCTCAGGTGAAACCCCCAGCCGTCCACCTGTCTGAGAAGTACACACGTCTGTGTCTACACAACTCAGACATGTTCTTCCCTGATGTGTAGTAGGTCGAGCAGGAAAATGAGCTGTAAACAGCCTCTGCAAACCCCTAGGTGTTCCCCAGCCTCCAAGCTGAGCTCACACACGCGGCAGGTGTCCAGGGAGACACGACGTGCCTGTGACTGAACTGACAGCAACAGTGCACAGCGCCACTGGTGGCCGAGCACAGTGGGGTACACTGGCCTCGGTGTGCAGAGAGCTTAGCGTATAATTCAAACCCGGGACCCTGTTTGCACGCCTGCTTGCTTATATAATTATAGCACAACATGTACAGTTTTTATGGAGGTTACGCTGATTGACAGTGTTGTGCCTGAGGTAGGGTTATAGGTTTGCACCTCCTCAGACTTGTTTCCACACCATCCCCTCCACCAAAGCCCCACAGCCCTGCCACAATCCATGCCCCCTCGGCACTTCCCATCCCTCCCTTCCCCTTTCTACAGTCTCAATTCCATAGTCAACTTCCTGGGTTTGTTTCGCTCTCACTTGTCCCTCTCCTTTGTTGCTTTATATTCTACCTAAGAGTGCCATCGTGTGCCCTTGACTTTCTCCTTCCGACTCTTGCTCACGCTCATCAACTTCATCTGCCTCTTGGCTTCTCTTCCACGCGGCTGCCCAGATGGCTTCTGGGCACCACCTGAGGCCGGGGACGCCCCAGCGACTCAGAGCACAGCCTGTAAAACGTTGTGTCGGCATGGAGAGAGGGGCAGAGGTGCTCCTGAGGTACTGGAGCGTGTCAAACCAGTGACGCAGCCTGCGTCCTCCAAGGAGCTGACCACACGCACCAAGCAGCCTCCTCCCCTTCCTTGCCATGCCCTTGTTTGGTCGGGAAACTGGACATGGGGCATCCAGCATCTAAACTTGACCCAAATTCCAATGAAAATAGAGCTATAAGAATGTCTTGTTTCGAGCCTTGACCCTTGCTCTCTGAATTCATCTTGGGGAGTGAGAATCGGGAGGCAGGATGGGCCTGGAGAGGACAAGCACTTCTGAAGCAGCAAGAAACAAGCGCATCTCTTTGCACGTTGTCACTTGGTCCCAGCGACCTGGCCGCCTGCCCTTGCCCAGGCCTCGGTCGTCTCTCGAGCACTTTTCCCCTCGTTTGGACTTCTGAATGCTGAGTCCTGACGTGCATAATTTGGCGCTTTAATATAGAGTAACATTATTTTTCATTTACTCCAATCTGCCATCAGTATCATCTTTTCATTTAACCAGATGCAATTCTTTTTTCTTTCGCTAAATTGAAAATCCATGAGCGACAGGGAGTGCAATGTTTTAATTAGCTCATATTTTTTATATGGATTTATGTCTTTAAAATACATTTGTGTAATTCTTCAGCTAAATTAAAAACGTCTTTCCACAAAAGTGAGGAGGGGGAAATAAAGAGCTAAATTGTGTCATTAGCTTAGGTAGATACGCATAGAGGGAGCCTGGTGGGGAAAACACGCCACCCCGGAGCTCCCACCTGGGCTGGATTTGAACTTGCCCTTCATTTCAAGAAACCTCTCTCTATCACGATTTCTCAAAAACTGACCGGAGGAGGGAATTTCTAAGACCCCTCCTAAGGAAACAAAGCAGTTACCTTGAACGAACCTAATTTGAAACCAAACCTACCTCCAAACAAAACAGGAGAGCAAAGTCATAATGATAAACAGTTTCCCCTGCATTTCTCTCTTTGTCTTTTTTTTTTTTTAACTATCAAGTTTAAAGCTTTCTACAGTGCTTTTTTTCTACTTTATAGGAGACAAGTGACATTCCGTGGTAAATGGGAGAAAACGCCAAGCAGAACTGAAATCTCTCTAATGCACTGACACTAACTTGCCCTCTATTGTTGGAAGTGAACAAGCGTTCATGATTGTTCATCACACAACCCCTAATGCAGTTAAAGCATTCAGCTATAATTTCTCCTTGCATTTATAATTACTGTCATAGACTACACACCTCGGTGAGCAGATTAAAGCTATAAACTATTTAGCCGCGGCTCTAAGACGGGGAACTTGATTTGTCTGGCAGGAGTTATTTGTTAGGGAGCTTGACACTTCACATAAAAATGACTCAACTTGATGAAGAACAATGCAGTTTTAGCAATGCAGGGATTTTAAATCAGTCCTGACGCCACGCCCTCAAGGATCGGGGGCAGTTTGTTAAATGAAATGTAGGCCACGAGATAAGGGAGTGGACCCAGAATAGAAGGGGGTTTGATGTGTGACTCCTTTCCCTCCTCACTCTTCCTCGGAAAGAGCAGGAGTTTGTTGAAAATCAGCACGCACACGGTCCTCCTGTTAAATTCGGTGTAAACGTCACAAGGGGGTCACCTGACAGGAGGCAGGGGTGCCAGGACCCCACGGAGAAGTCCTACTTGGGGGTTTTAGAGATTCTGTGCCCCTGAGCCCATTCGGGAACTCGGGGCTCTCTAGCCATGGCTGAGTAGTTCCCCTGGAATATTCCTCAGTTCTGTCTTTATTTCTTTGTTACGTGCAGGAGGTGTAGGTCAGGCCAGGGAGGATGTTCTGATGTAGCGATCCCACAGCCATGAGCATGTGGTTTTTCACTACTTGTTGGGACCCAAGAGCTAGGAGCTGGTCATTGGGTTTGGGGCCAATTCGATCCTTTTGTCACAGAACCCTCACCCCCCCCCAACACACACACCTCGTAGCCATAAATAAACACACACATGTTCAAAGGCCCTGTCCAGCAGCAGGAGTCTGCTGAACACGCATTTATGGCAAGCGTAGGTGCACATACTCCGTGTTAGTTGTTGCAGGCACTGGTGCCCCCAGGCTGGGCACAGATTGAACAGGGAGCCTGCAGCTTTCCAGGAGCAGGGAGCCCATGTCTCTAGAGGCATGAAGCCATGTGGTCTAGGTTAGAATTCCGTGTCCAGGTATTATGGTGTGGTTTGGTCACTGGTGCGGTATCTTTTTTAACACCCACCAAGCCAAATAAAAAGTAATCTGGAAATCAATCAGATTAACCCCTGGGCTGCCCAACCTGCAGGCTCTGAACCTGCTGCAAGTTCAGTGGCGACACCAGTTCTGTGCTCTGGGCCAGCCCCCCAGCTTGGACGCCTCCTTCCCTTTGCACTTGCTCTTGATTCTGTGGCTGCTCTCCGAGAGGTGCTCAGAACTAGCGCAATTGTGATTTCTGCTCGTGTCTACGTCCCCTGTGGGGAGGGAAAGGTTTTACATGCACGTGAATAATTAACTTCCGGTTCCTGATGTCCCACATATTAGCAGAGGAACCAGGAAGGCTTCCTCCACCCTTCTTCTTCCTGGCATCTCACCTCCTTCCTCCTCTCCACCTTGTTTCCTTCCTCTGTCAGGTGCCTATTATACATCTGCTAGACACTGGAGATAAAGGCATGAGAAATGCAAGCTCCCTGTCCTCAGGGAATAGGAACCTAGCCCTGGTCTCAGGCAAGAGAAGAGGCAAGAGAAGGTATTTGGCCATGACTAGCCTACCTTGCCTGTGATGGGATAATGTATAAGTGCTTAACCTCACTGTTTCATAAAAGCACCACGTGGGAGCACCTGCCCAGGCTGGGGGTGGCGGCCTGGGAAGACGCAGGGAAGCCAGAGGAGGTTTCCTAAGCAGACATGGAAGGTGACTAGAAGAAAATGTGAAGAAGGGAGATAGAACTAGCACGAGGTAAAAGAACAGAGAAAGGCATCTTCTGGAAGCCAAAAGATGGTCAATTTGTGTGCCCTGTTCCACCCCCAGAAATAGTCTTCTCATTTTACTCATTAAACATGAAAAGCAGCAGACTCAGCTTCTGAGGCTCCCGGGCGTTTCAACACACACTAACGGGATTGACTTGCAGCCCAAAGCAGCAGAGTTCATTTTCTTGGTAGGCATTTAGCCCAGAGAAGCAGAAGTCTGCCCAGGG